ACTGGAAATGCTTCACAGACAGAAGTATCAGCAAAACAGAATTTTAAAAAAGGCATTTCACTTAAAATACTCCTGCCAGGAACAAGGGCTGTGCTCCTGAATTAGCAGGTTTCTGTCCTGCTATGTAAGTGTGCGTGCGCTGCCTCCAGCACATAGCCCAAAGGGAGAGGGGGCAGATGAATCCAAGGAAAGGTACTAATATGACTGATACAGCAGGAGGGATGAAGATGCAGTGAGAGTGTGAGGAGTACAAAGGAGAAAGAAATGTCCCACGCACCTGTAGCTCAGCTTCTGGGTTTTCTCATGAACATTTTTCAAGATCAGATGTTTGATCATCTCTTTTCCGAGTTCCCAGCCACGCCACCTGAGTGTTTCAGCCACCTCAATGCCCCAGAATACACATTTCTTCTTCTTTGCCTTTCTTGCAGACAGCTTAGGAAGTTGCAACGGGGACATTAGCACTTTGGGAGGGAGGAGAAATCAAACAGCTGTTTCTCTATGCTAAAAGTCTCTGACTCTGGCAAACGGACGGGAGGAGCCACCCTGCGGCAAAGCTCCAGGAGTCACCAAAAGCCTTGCTCCAGGAGTCCAGAGGGGACACCTCCTGGCCACAGCCCAAACAACAGATGCTAAAGGATGTCAAGAACGAGGGAAGCAAAGGCTAAAGGGTTTTTTGATTTTCTCCTCTCCCTGCCCTGCCAGTAAATCCACCCACGACGATGGCACCCTTTGCCCCACCACTCACCTTCCTGACACAGCCACAGCTCAGCTTCCGAAAAGAGCCAGAGTTTTGGGGCTCCCCATGCGCCTGAGCAAGCATCTGAAAAACAAGAGGAAAAAGTCCTCACGCGCGCTGCTCCTGCTTCCGGACAGTCTTTGCTGCCAAGACCTGGGCACTCCCAGAGATCCAACAACCCCTCCTCGGGCTCAGGACGGCACACCTCCCCACAGGGGCTGCAGTGTCCCCAGCAGTGTCCCCGTTTTGCCAGCCGAGTCCAGCCCTTGCCACAGACCACGCAGTCCCCGGGCTGCCGCAGCTCAGCGGTCCCCTTGGCACAGACCGTGACCCCCCCACCTCGCTCACAGCTCAGTCCCCTGTGGCAGAGCTCTCCTTGGGCCTTTACAGGACAGCCCTGCCCAGCCCGCTATAGCCCCACAGAGACCAGTACAGCAAAAGCCCTGTAGCCCTGCCCGGCCCTCTAAAACCCTATATAGATGGCTGTGGCACGGCCCTGTTCCCTACAGCAAGAGCCTGCCCAGCTCCCTGGGGCACGGCCCGGTCCTTTATAACCCTGCCTGGCCCCCGGAG